TAACCATTTAGCATCATTTAGCTAATCCCATGGCCCATCTAAGTATGTCATGATTCTCTAATCGCCTCCCTAGGCCCCTGCTGTGTCCCGGTGCACCTTGAGCCGCTGATCACGGAACGCTGGAGCGCTCCCTGCGACGAGGGTACCCGGGCGTCAGCGCTGAGGCGCGACGTTGACGCGCCGCCGCCGGGGCTGGAGCAGAAGAGCTCCTGGGAAGGCCCGGGGTGCCAGGAGCCGATTGGTTGGGGATTTTACATGATTTTACAGGGTAAATGTGGCTTTTTCATGGTTTTTTTACAGGGTTTCAAGAGCAGAAAAATGATGGTTGGTTGGTGTTATATATTGTTATAGTTTAATCAGCCCAAAACTGAAATATGTTGGGATATGAGGAGGGTATCACCTGCCGTTTTGTGAAATCAGACCGGGTGCCCCCCAATTTTGTATGGCATGTGTTCATAGGGAAAATTGGAGACATGATGACAAATCAGTGGTTTCGGAAGCCGCTAAATTGATGTGGATGAAGTCACCGGTTACGCGGCTTACGCGGTGGGACCCACAAGAGGCTGGTGATTGTATGTCCTTTCTATATCTAAGCACATCAAATATGTGTACACATCCTGTATGCATATCCTGCATGTGTAATATATATATACACAGTACTATACACAGCCATTTGCAAGTGGCTAAAGAGGCTTCTCATGCAAATACGCATCCGTGGAAAGAAACATGGCATTCGAAGGATATCGAACCTTGCAATTTGTCCAGCAGGATGTTCACATATCTACAAGCAGATCCACCAGCTTAAAGTCTTAAACTACCGAATGCCCATCATTAATATCCAACAGCAGGACATCCACATCTAACCAGATCTAGGTGATGACCGTCATGCCTGGCCCAGGCTGGGACTCGCTAGAAGAGCAATGGTGGCCTCTGTGTGGGGAAGATCAGTGGGCTCGCGCCGATGAGTTCTTGGCCAAAGCCCGCGCCATGCCGTTCGATCGATGCTTGGAGTCATGGCTAGCGGGGTAGCGGCTGCTTTTTGACATCTTTCTGACGCTGGGATGGCCATGTAGCCCCAGGAAATACGAGACACTGATGTAGAAAGGATATGAAAGGATCATGATCATCCAATTTTTTGTGAGTTCTTGTTGACATTCACCCTCAAAAATCATACGGACAACACCATACAACACCCATAAATGCAGGATTATGATGATCTATGTGTGGTATGTTGACCTACAGAAGGCGACCACCTGAAAGAAACATAATTTACATCATTTTTCCAATGCAGTGCCACATCACTGGTAGTTTCAACATGTTTCAACGAAGTGGCTCCATGGGTTAGCCCTCATCTTGGGTCGACGTGACATGGTCACATACCCAGTGCATTCAGGGTACATGGGTCTGATTCTTCATCCCGGCTCATGGGCCGTGGTGTTTCAATGTTGCATGAACCGTGCATCCCTTCCCCTCGGTGTGGAAGTCCATGGAAGTCCCAAACCCAGCCGGTCATGGCTTCCAATGTTTTTGCAATTTGCACAAATCAGTAAATTAGATAGATTCTATATATATATGATTTCCCATTTTTGCGGATGACCCGACCTTCAGGACTCGTATTTGTCGGCCACGGAGGGTTTTGGGAAACGGTACTGCCCTTAGACCTGACAAAAGTGGCAGCTGTAGGTGTCAATGACAGATGTGTTTGTGTGTGCATTTGTATTTGTATCTATTCGAATCTGCATACAAACATATCATTTATGCGTAGATATACAATTATAATTACATGTGCTTTATAATTGCTTACAGACTCTTATATACATACCTTGAACACAACCTTCTTTTTCAATTTGTTGAGGGAAACAAGCTGGACGTTTGGGTTCCAGGTATTGAGACACACTATAGCAGTTCTGGGTACATTGCGGTTCAGATATAGGCTGTATTCTTCTGGGGGGTATTAAGCTTGGGTTTGGTGAATTCTTTTAGTCTAGCTCGGGCGAGCCCCTAATTTGCATTGTAGTTTCGTCCATGATGTGTTGTATTTATACATACATTGGAAGTAGACAGATAGATGAACAGGTGGACAGACAAACAGACAGACAGGTAAATATATACAGCAGTGCAGTCAGTGTCTCACCAAATCTCACCAATCTGACGCGCATCGATGTTTCCCAATTAAATGAGTGTTTTTTGGATGGACCAATGGACACCGACCAGATTGGGATCAATTAGAGTCAAAAGTCATTTGAAACTATCGAGGAATAGTGGCGTTCAAACAGATAGAATTTGATGTTCACTGTTTGCTCCTCCTTTTCTTGACCGCTGGCATCTCCCGGAGAAGGGACACACATTCACTGGACCCGTGGGGTTTCTCATCGTGCTATGGGGAAGTGGGAACATGTGGTGGTCCATCTACAAATCTCAAATTGCTGCTGTCACTGAGGTTACTGGCACATACCTGAAGAATTGTGAGGTCTTGTTCTGTGACCGTTCGCTTTGTTGAGCCATTCTGCGTTTCATCCAAAGCCATGGCACAGAATAGGCTCCGGAAACTACCGGCATTGTGCAGACGGGATGAAAAAGACGACTTGCAATGGTTTCCAGTGGTTCCGTGAAAAATCTGCCAGCATGAGAAGGTCTCATGAAACATTTGAGTGCTTTGATCAGGTTCATCGCCATTTTCCAAGCCTATCCAGAAGCGATAGATTATTGAGAGATCTTGGTCAGATACTATGGATTGGTCGAGTCAGGTCCATAGACAAGGTATACACGGGCATCGACAGTACAATCTGGAACGTATATTTTAGTCCCCTAGTTTGGATGAATAATCTAACAGAGAAGCCTTTCATTTCATGGAAGAAAAATCTGGGATGGGTAAAGATCATCCACACACTTTTCCTAAAACCATCTACCCTCTGGTAATTTAACATAGCTATTGAAAATGGCCATGTATAGTTGATTTTCCCATTAAAAATTGTGATTTTCCATAGTTTTTTGTATGTTTACCAGAGGGTATAACTTGATGGAACATGTGCAACCTCAAAGATATGTTCAGCCTTTCGGCTTCCTCGTTGCCAGGATAGCTGGGGTAGTGTCAAGCCGCCCTCCTACGCCACGTGGTGCGGGCATCCCAAATCATCCATTGTTTTTGGATTCCCCATGATAAAGCATCCATTTAGGGGTAGCATGGGGTAGCCCAAGTCATGGAAATATCCCAAATTAGGCACATGTCCAACAACACACCAAGATTGTGAATGGTTTATGTTTTTTTGTTTGCCACAATGAGCAAGGCTATCGGCTCGAAATCACCCCGATTTTGCGATCTCGTGTGGGTTTTTTTCGACGCCATTGGCCTAAGCGGGATCTCGACCTGCTTCCCGCGGGCTGGTTTGCTCTCTGGTGTGACTTGAGCTATCGGCCTTCTCAACTCGATTATTTTTCTTGGTGTTATTTCTCTGTACCTGCTGCCATTCACTCGGCCACGTACATTGATTTCACTTTGCAATTATTTCCTGGGTGTTTTTTGGGGCTTGATCGATTTCAGTTGAGTTTCCTGAATTCCTTGCTTCAATTACCTCCCGGGTACCTCATCTCCATCAGCTGACTGGGCTTGCTGTTTCGCTCCCTACGTTATTTCTGATTTGGACTTCGAGGTCTTTGATTTTTCACGATCTTGGGATTTGCTTAACTGGTTTGCCCTGGCATTTCCGCATTTTCGAGACCAATTTGTGTACATTATATGTGCTCATTTATTTTGCTCTTCTTGATCTTGACAGTGTCATTTGATTTTATTTTTCAGAATTCTCCGCGCATCGATATCCTGGAAAAGGAGGTTACGCCGACTCCGAGCATCTGCAAGGCGTTCCTGGTTTCTACATCGGAAGAAGATTGTAGTCCTCAGCAAACCTGCACTTTTGCGTTTGAAGCGTATTCTTTCCAGCCATCATTCCAAGGATTACCATTTCATTTGCCAAATCAACCAAGCCATGGAGGCTCCAGACGAGAGTTACCCCTGGCGTTGCCGCCAATGTTGGAGGCTGAACAAGGAGACACATGTGACATGCCCGAATTGCCATGCTCATTGGAGTTCTGGAGAAAGGCACAATACCGAGCCGAAGAATCCCAATGTGGCAAGTTACAAAGATGGAGAGTGGGCCGATTGGAACAGCTGGGAAGACAATCGAAGATGGTCTTCAAGGTCACCCAGCCGACATCGGTTCGACCAAGAACCAGATCAGACGGTCCAGACTCCCCGTCAGCGTGCAAAAGGCAAGGGCAAAGGCCGAAAAGGCAAAGAAGGAAAGTCTGGAGGGAAAGATGCTCCAGTAGAAACAACGTCTCCATTTCAGGCGCTGCCTGCAGCTGGATTCGATGCATGGCAGCTGATGGATTCCACAGGGTTCGCGCCACAATCTACCAGTGTTGCCAGTCCTTTCCAGCTCTCTGGTTCGGACGGTGGTCTGCAGGAAATGGCTCTCGCTTTGAAGCGAGCCTATCCAGATGCAGCCAAAAGGCCCGAAGACGTCCAGATCCTCCTAGACAAAGCCGACAAGGAGGCGGGCAGATTAGGCCTCAAGAACCTGCAACAAGCCGCCAAACATTTGGACCGTTCAAAGAAACACCTCAAGGAGGTAAACGACCAGAAAAAAGCCCACAGAGCAATGTGGTTGAAACACATTACAGAGGGGATCCAGGTTTGGGAGCGTCAGCTCGAAGAGTATCGCCGCCACCAGGCTATGCTCACGGATTTAGCAAGACGTGCCACCACAGAAATCTCTTCGACAAGTCGTGCTATTCAACTCCTTGGAGCGGCAGGGACCGGTACAGCTTTGCCATCTATTCCGGCTCCGGAAGCAGCCGAAACCTTGGAGCAAGGAGACGAATCAGCCGACCAGGAAGAAGACCAGTTGAGGCAGAAGCTACAAGCAATCCTGCGATCCTGTGCAAGCTCCCTGGGAGTCAATCCAGAGGGTGGGGTACCACCACTGGATACCAAACCAGAGGCAGAAAGCATGGAAGATGGGAAGTCGGAGGAAAAGACGTCCAAAAGGCCCCGTTCTCTCGAACCTTTTGGAGGTGCTTCACGATCTTCGTGAACATCGGCCGTGTCTGCGGAGTTCAAAGGAATCCAATGCACGAGGCCACTGAGCTTTGTTTCCTAGGGGTTGCCGCTGATGCCTATCACTCTTGTCCCATAGAGAGTGGTGCAGCATGCGAAACTCAGGATATTCTCCCAAACCTCCAACTCTCTTGGTACCACTCTGTCAGAAATGAAATCAAGTATAAGAACCCGCTCCAAGCTGCAACTGATGCTTGGAACTTGAGATGGGAAGTCCTACATGACCTTAGTCACTGCAATCTGTTATCCGATGCCTATTTTCCTGCCACTTCACTGAACCCGATGACTAGCTGCATTTCTCAGGAATCCCTGCCTTCCAAACACAATGGGATGTGTGTTAGGTTTGCGGATTGTATTGATGTGTGGTTAGGGGATCATGATACTGGACTATTCTACGGATTTCAGATGAGGCACGATTGGCTTTGTGATTGGCCTTCCAAACCATGGAGTAGGCGTAGAGTGCATGTGCTGCATGAGAGACCTACCCCCACCATTGATGATCCGATTGACGAAATTCCTGCTGAATTTTTTGTCCCCTGCCCTGTATCAGGGTCCAATTTGACTGCTTCTCCTGTATCAATTTTGACAGATCACCAGGCACCGCTGTCTCTTCAGGCCGTGTTGAGCCGGTTTTCTGATTGTGATACTGATTTTGCGACCCAGGATGATTTTTCGATTGTTTCAGTGATTTCACATGATGGGCTTCCACATGCTGATGATGATACTGTTCACGCCATACAATGGCCACACACAGATGCCGATGTTGATCAAGCTGAGACTGGATTTGCCGGCACTGTCTCTGCACCGAGTACTGATGTGGTAACTGTTGCGCCGCCGCAATTTCAGCTCTGTGATCTTGATCCTAAATCTGATACAGTTTGGCTTATGCAGATTTCAGGTGGTAAAACTTACGATTGCAAGCATGATGAATTTCAGCCGAGTGAATCCGCCCTACAGTCTTCTCTTCAGAGTGGTAATGCAGACACAGCTATGCGCCCTCTGCAAGAAGCCAATGATGCCAGTTCCTCGGAACAGGGATTCTCAGCTGACAGCTCCCCTGACATGCCAACGTTTGTTGAACCGCCGCCTGATTCACCCAATAGACAGGATGTCCTGCTTTTTCATCTGCACGATGACCCAATCCGTACATTTCTGGACTGGAGTAGCTATGAGTCGATGATTACGGAGGTTGCACATCACTTCTCTGTCCACAGACAAGGTATCATCGATGTCTATGAGACTAGTGTGCCGTTGCATGATCTTCCTCCGGATGTCACCCCTATCATCGTACATTTACTGAACGATATCCCATTGGGACAGGCTGCCAAACTTGTCCTGATTGATTTAGAAGTCCATGGACACAGAATTGAGCCACACTTTAGGCTGGGCCCGGCTATTCAAAGGTATGTTTCACCGGTACCTGAATGGAGTGACCGTGAAGGTGTTCTTACCATTGCTGATGTTGAGAGATATTGCAAATTGGAAGGTGGACGTTGCCTTGCTTTCCACAACTCAGCGCGCTGGCCAGACTATGACCTCACCCTACACCAATTTGTGCATGGAGACACCGTCCGTATTGCAATTCCACCTTCAGACAGAATTGAGTGCCCGACGGATCAGTTGATTACGTGGACACAACAAGATCTTACCGATGTGGAAATTATGCAACGGATGGATGAGAATTTGCCTGCAGAAGGTTACTCACCCAGCCTTTTGGATGAGGGAGAGGTTTTGGCACTTGCAACACCAAATCTAATTGATGCCCAAGCCGAAAATGACGTTTTCCATGCCATGCAGTTTCCTGCATCTTTGCCACTCAGTGATTCTAACCATGAAATTGGCTCTAATGGTAGCTCTGATGACAGACAAGCTGACTGGTTTTTGGATCTTCATAGGCTCATTGATGCTCATGCTTCAACTTGCAACATTGATGCCAATAGAGAGGTTGCATTTCCTGTCAACACTTGGTTTTTAGACCAGGAAAGTTCTAGAATTTGTAATGCACCGAGAATAGCCATGATTGGAGGAGATCCGTCAACGTGGGAAGCCGATCTCATCTTTCCGTGGCGATATCAAATCACTGCACGTGATCTCATTTTCCTCGATGTTGTGTCCCCTTCTGTGCCACTTGCCGACATTGAAGATCATGTAGCCAACATCCTGATCACACAGAAACCAACGGTATTTTCCTCTGCACTACTTGCGCTTGAATTCCTGGCTCCAAATGCACGAAGTATCTTTGTACGATTTGCCGTTGCGACCCCTCCGGTCAGCACCCGAGATGACATTGCCTCTGTTGTACCACTCTTTTCTAGGTTGCCGGTCACCAGATTAGTTTGGGAGCATCCGATGCTGGATTTACCAGACCAAAGTTTTCAAGTGCA